ATGTATGTATGTATGTATGTTATTTCCTTTTTTATTAGACAGTTAACAACATGTTTATTACGCGCCAACTACAGAGTTAAGAGTTTAGTTCAAATCAAAGACAATCCTTGCAGAACATCCAGTTCACATCCTGCAGTCTCTGAAACCACACTGCAACAACAATAATATTGTTGCAGAAAGTGGTATTACTTTCTGATCAAAACTTTTTATTCCTTAAAAACCGTGAAAAGTAATTTTTTCACGTTTTTAACATCAACACGCACATTCAACTACTCCCAATGTCCCCACATCCATAACTACACAGAACATTCCCACAACACATGTTTTTACCTACCTGTTAGTTCTTGGCTGCAAATAGGATCGTTTCTTGTCGCAGTAAGTTCCATATGCGCGCCAGATATGCGCACTGTGCCCTTTTTTAAATCTCGACGTTCTGTTAGTATTTTTTTCTGGCTTCTCGTGTGGAGCTGTAAATTCTGCCATAACCCTCTCCAGCAATACTGAACAAGATATTTGTGGTTGAAAAGACAGACTTTAAAAAAACACGTGCGCATATCCCCGCCCCTGTGGCAGGGACCACCAATGGAAAGCTGCAGCGCCTGTTTAAGGTTTCTAGTCCAAAAAGAGGTTATATCGTTCTTATTTATTTATAGTTTATTTATTAATGTACTTTTTGGCAGACTGGGACACTCAGTGTACATCACTTGTAAAACTTCACGGTGAAGCTTGAACCAAGCAACAAAAATACATGACGCTGGTCACAGGAATACAATGTAGGTAAGGTGGTTAGATAAGGTGTTTGTTAATCGGTGTTTAAGTCTAAAGTAAATAAAACTGACTGTGCGAGAATGATATGACTGTATCTCTGACCTGCACAAAAAACTCTAGGACTGCAGGAATATTGAGTGGGTGAACACAAGGGGGAGGTAAAGAGCTACAAAGGTAATTACATACACAAGACTCAAACAGGTTTTTATGACTGGTACTATTTTTATCATGCAAATATAAATAAAACCCATTTTAAAATAACCAAAGAGAAGATTTTTCCAGTTTATTTCACTTACACTTACATTTTACATGGCAGAAACAAACATGCATTTCTGAATGCTATATTATATGATTTTACATTGGCTATAAACATATTTACAAAAGCTCACCTTATCACATAATCTTTTTGGGAACAGTGAAAGTTGCATTTTCATTTCATTTTGATTTCTTTTGTCATTTCATCTACAAAAATGTTTGCAGGATCATCTCCTCATTGATGTTAATATTCACCTGAGCAATGTGTCTGTTTCTCTTCCCTATTGGTATAAGTGTGGTGCCATCTGCAGGACGTCCCTTCCTGTTGTATTCCTCTGCACTGAGGAAAGGCACCGGCACCCATGTGGTCACATTAAACAGACTGAAGTCCACCTTGTAGTGTTTCTTGCCCATTTTCAGCATGTCCTGGAAACGCTGGCCCCAGCGGATGTCTGCTGATGTGTAGGAAGCACGTGTTTGGTGGAGTATTCCTGTGGAGTCCCCTGTGTAGGTGAAAGAAACTACCAGCTCAAAGCGATTGTCCCGCAGGTTATCAGGACCCATGTTGTACAGGGGACTGCCAGGCTCTAGCTTGTGAATAATAGTGGTAGGTGTGGCAAGGACAATCTCCCGTTCCTCTATATCTAAGTCCTGGTAAGTGATTACAAGTGACCCCACTGGCCGTTTTACATAGCGGATTAACTGGACCCTGACGACCCCCTCCAGGATGTGATTACCTCTGAAGTCCCCGAGGCGCCATGACAGACACAGAACCCTGTCTCGTAAGTTGACCACCGCGCATCTGCTGAAACCCACCGTCTGGGCTCTCTTACGAGCAGATGCCATCTTAGCTACAACAACGCCAATGACAACTGTGTCAAGAAGACAGCTAAACACAGTCTGAATCGTCACCACAATGATAGCTACAATAGAGTTTTCGGTTACATACCTGTAGCCGTAACCAATAGTCGCCCCGGTCTCCATTGAGAACAAAAATGCCCCAGTGAAGTCACGCACATTTGAAACACAGAGATCGTCATCTGCATTATCACTGTCTCCATTTACATGGGCAATTAACCAATAACACAGACCAAAAAGAAGCCAAGACACAATATTATTAAGGGAGAAAATAAGGAACATCATTCTCCAGCGGATCTCTACAAGACTGGTAAAGATGTCGATCCAATATGTGGTCCAGTCTCCAGGAGCCTGTTGAAACATCACAGGGAACTTGCCATCTTTTTGCATGTAGCGGAGACTCTTTTCCTTCTTTGCATTTTGCCTGCCCAGCGTGTGGATTGTGGTGCACCAGGTATCAATGACCTGCTCACTTCTTTCTGTGCTCATGTTGATTAAATCTAAAGTTCAGTCTCCTGCAGAAAGACAGAGATGACATGAAAATGGAGACTAAAACATCAGATATCTTGAATAACGTGTCAGTGAATTCATGTATTCATTCACTCAGTACATGTGACTAAAATGTAGATGCAGACTCAAAACCTTCATGTTTTAGCAGCCACGGTCACTCTGTGCCTTTGGCTATTAGCAGAAAATGAGCAGGTGTGAAAAAATAAACCTCGTGATCACCTGCTTCTTGTTGGCTGATGATTAACTAAAAAGTTCCATTACAAAGCTTTCAATAAACACTTATATGGCCACATTATAAAACAAGTGCAATTGTGAATAGGAATTTTTCTTTTCACTTCTGTTAAATTACAAGCACTGAAAATAAGCCAGTTAATAAATCTACAGTTAGGCATTAAAAAATAGCGCTGTGGTCGCCCCTGGTCAGACTCATTAGTACAGATATGGGAAAAAAATTAATAAATCAGTCATCGTTCAGTGAATGATCAAACCACAAGCCGAGCATTGTAACTTGCACGCACACATTAATGTTTAAGTTTAGCCATCAATTTCATAGAAAGAGTTATATAGGACATTAAGAGAGGTCAGATATAATCCAGGTCCAAAACCATTTTTATCATATTGATACCAAATTGTTATTAGGGCAATTACACAGACTTATGTAAGCACGGCATGTTCCTCTGTTATATTGTAAGTATGCCATTTTCTTCCTCTTATGTTGTTTTTGTCTTGGACAAAACACCAGCTTTTTTTTTTACAGGAAAAAGAACAAACATGTATGTTTCTACCAGTGGGAAAAAAAAGCCCAAAAAACAATTACCAGGCAGATCTAAGTCAAAATGTCAATTTTACAGCATTTCAACAAGCTTCCATAAACACTAATTTTCTGATCCTATTGTACTTAACCGTTATTTAAGTAAGAAGAATATTGCATTAACTTAGCTGGATCAATTTTCAATTTTCAACTGTTAATGATCAGAATTGTTAGATGTTACGCAGTGTGTTTTTTTTTTTTTATCCTGTCAAGCTTAATATTCTGTTTGAGTGCCTGACATAATTCTTTCATAGTGATACGTCCTTTACTGTATTGTCTGTGCATTTTTCTTTACTTTAACACATTTTGCTTGCTAAATCACTCACTGTTACAGACTTTGTTGCTTTATATAGATTAGGTCCTGACCATCCAACAAGATTAACTCAAGCTATGGGAAAACCTATTTTCCTCAGTGAAAAACCTTTTTTTAATCACTTCTAATCTCTTTAGTTTTGAATTTTAGCCAAGTTTGCTGTCTTCCAGATGTGACAATGGCCAGCAGGGAGCAGTGACCAGTGTTTTGATAACAGAGTGCAAATGACTTCTGAGAAATTAAAGTCATAAAAAGTTAAGGCCAGCTACTGTAAGTTTTCACTCGAATCCTAAGAACTTAAGACTCGGTTTGTCTCGGTTAATTAAGCAAAAATCTTGACCTCAGTGCGGTGTAGTTATTAACCTGTGTTTGTTATCGAAAGGGTAAATAATTACTCACCAACAACCTCTAACAGTTTTCACCTCCAAATGTTACCTCAGATGTCAAACTTTAACCACACCTACTTCTTTTAGTAACACATAAAATAAGGCAAAGCCAAGACGGTTTTATCACTTTTTGTCCGCAGCACACACGCCTACTTCGGGTGTTATTGATATCATAAATGACACCTGACAATCAAAGGCACCGCTTTAAGCTTGTCACCAGTTTTGTTCTTCAGGATCTTAGTCACAGATCAATAAGCTATGTCGTTCCAGTGAGTGTTTTTATTACTTATTTGAATGAGCTGCATGCTGTTGTTTATCTGCTCTTGAGATAAATGGCTACTCAATAGGTCTAATCTTACATCTCCTGTGGTTTAATTATGAAACCAAATAATGTTAATGTTTGTGCAGTCGTGTCAATCAACATCATCTTCAAATCAGTGTTCATGACAGCTTAATAAATGTCAGCCCAAAAGATGAACTGTCTTATTTCTACTTTTTACTAAGTCTTCCATAGAAAACTATGTCAAGGTAATGTCTGCATTTTGGTATATGTTAAATTAATGCACAGGAAAAAAAAACAACAGGAAAACAAGTGCAAAGGTATTTGGATTACAAGTAGGGGAATGCTAGACTCATATTTGCTGCAACAATCAGTCTGTTCCCTGAATGTCAAATGACAAGGACAGTCAGGTCTAAGAAAAGGGTAACTGAGACCACTCCCACCCTCGAGGAATTCTACAAGACAGTTGAAATGACACAGATCCAGTATGCTGTTAAGTCATTGCAGTTTACAATGTATATATCACTATCGCTTGTTGTGCATGAAGGATGCTTTTTGTCAGTCTTATTTTTCTCCTTGTAACACAAGTACGTGATTTCCCACTTTCCATGGGACTACATTACTGTGCTGAATGAGAGCACATTAAGCTGTAAGAGTCTTACCTGTTAATTAACTGGCACTTTTGCATCCTTTAATTATATTAGCTGTTTTGTTTCAGATTTCCAGCCGGTGAAATGTTAAATGTCTTTCCAAATTAGTTCCTTGTTTTTAGAGTAATAATAATAATAATAAAAGATTATTTAGGATCCACTTATTATAACTGAATGTCTCTTTTGTTTTCTGTGATTTTTGTGAGCTTTACTTTTATAAACGTAGTCTCTTGTCTTTTAAATATGATCAATTATTAAGTAAAAGAAACTATGCATTTTTTTCTATTAGCGTTTTTTTTTTTTTTTTTTTGTAGCTCACAAAGTTAATTCTTTTATTAGAAAATATGATCACTCGATTAAAAACGCTGTCTTACACATTAGGTACCCCTTTAATAAACCCATTGCAAAGCACAAACATGTTCAACTTACTTGCAGAGTAGATCAGAGTACGTCAGGTGTCACAAGTCCATCAATTCCACCAAGCATAAGACGATGTGTTGCTCAAGTTGTGGTAACCTTCACATTTAGTTGGCTGCAAAGTGTGACATTGTAGGGGGCCGGCCTGGTCCTGAGGCAAAGTCCCATTTTTTTGTGATATCACTGCTAGCATGTCTCCTTGAAACCTTATTGGATACAAGAATTTATGACCTATGGAATATTTTAGAAGTTCCTTACGACAAAACTGGTATGTCTGTTAAAGCCTTTTCATGTTAAATTTCTGTGATTTATTAGAAAAGAAGTTAACCTTTGCTCAGTCATGAAAAGGCGTTGTCATTGGCACGCAGATTTTCTTTGTCTCGATTGTCCCCAATTTAGCTCTGATAAGACAAGGAAGATCACAGGTGAACCGAAAGTACACACTACATTTCAAAACACTTTTACTGCAGTAATAAGAGCAAATTTAGCTGCAACAAGGTCAGCAACAGCAAAACAAACTTCTTATAAAAATATAGCACACTCTCGTCCCTCCATTTCAAAACCTGCCTGATTCACGAAGCTGATTTTCTAAAGTAATGTGTGAAGACAGAGATAAGAGACATTCCTCTGAGAGATAACCTGGAAGGGAAGTTCATCAGTGTGTCACTTGCAAGCAGCAGCTTTATATTGAATAAGTGAAAACCGACAGGAAATAGTATATCTATTTAACTACATGACTGATAACGCAAAAATATGAAGGTTACACAAGAGTGTATTGATTGGTTTATTGATTTATTTACAGTTTCTCCCTCCACACTGTGCACGGCCATACAGGCCTATAAAGACATGTATGGCCCTTAAGAGTTAAAAGTAAAAATGTAAACTAGTTAAAAGAAGATTTTGATCAGATAACCAATACAATAAGCTCATGCTGACTGTCAATTCAATTCATGTTTTTTAATATAGCGCCAAAATCACAACAACAGTCGCCTCAAGGTGCTCTATCTTGTAAGGTAGACCCTACAATAATACATACTGAGAAAAACACAACAATCATATGACTCCCTATGGTGACAGTGGGAAGGAAAAACTCACTTTTAACAGGAAGAAACCTCCAGCAGGACCAGGCTCAGGGAGGGGCGGGGCCATCTGCCACGACCAGGTGGGGTGAGAGAAG